AATGTGTGTAGTCACCAACACATCAAGCTTTCCAGTAAGAACGTATATAGTTACCAACACATCATGCTTTCCAGTAAGAACGTGTATAGTCACCAACACATCATGCTTTCCAATGACAATGTGTGTAGTCACCAACACATCAAGCTTTCCAGTAAGAACGTGTATAGTCACCAACATATCATGCTTTCCAGTGATAATGTGTGTAGTCACCACTTATGTTTGCGAGCGATTAGTGACCTTTATTTGTTTTGTTTTATTTCCAAAAGCGCCTGGTGGCTTAGCAGTAAGTCTGAGGGCTTATAATGCTAAATTTTTGGTTTCTATACTCGCGGTGGGCGGAGCATAAATAGCTTATTTTTAAGCACAAGCTTAACAAGGAAAAAATCCATATTATATTACCTTGTGCAATATATAAATTATCTTTAAAAAGTGATATTTCCAAAATCGAATGGGAATAAGATTTATTTATACAGAACAAACATATTAAATATCTGTTTAAATTACCATAAATTATGTGTTAAAAATAAGTCTTGTCTCATTGAATTTGTTTCATGAAGTTAACTCAACAACCACTAAACGAGCACGTATGAGTTCAATAACGTAAACAGTATGTATCATAAACATGATTCAGTTTGTTTTCAAATCAGCTCCATCTCATTTATTTGAATTTCATATATGAATTATTTTAGTGTTTTGATAAAGTCGTAGTCACGTGTCAAACTATGTTCGAACGCAAGGCATCAGCTAATAACAAAGTGTGCACATAATGGTGACCTAAATTTCATGTAGTGTTCTTTTTTAACACAGCCCCTCTAGCTTCTTAATAAAGTTTTTATTGCGTGTTTCTTTTTAAATTCGTTCATTGTGAATACTAAAGATATTATGTAAATGATAACTAGCAGGAAAATATCGAACTGAACTTTGTGTTTTCAAATGATTACGAAATCCATTCGTATTTGTCCTTGGAATTTTAGGCTAATGGTTACAATCTCAGTGGCAGAGTAAAAAGTGTTGAAAGAAATATCTGGCAACTTAGGTTGCCCAAACAGGTTGCATAGGGCGTTCTTAGGATGACGTCTCATAATTAAAACGTAGAACTCTGAACGTAAAATCTTATTGGTTGAAACAAAGTTACGTGTTCAAGTATGACATGCCAAAGGTTAACAATTTGGGTACTAAGTGTGCAAAACAAAATTAAACGTCAGGATTGTAGAGAACTGAATCCAAACTGAACATGAGATCCTATTGGTTAAAAAAGTTACGTGTTCTTATATAATATGCCAAATTAAACGTCAGGATTGTAGAGAACTGAATCCAAACTGAACATTAGATCCTATTGGTTAAAAAAGTTACGTGTTCTAATATGACATGCCAAATGTTAACAGTTTTGGTACTAAGTGTAGAAACAAAATTAAACGTCAAGGATTGTAGAGAACTGAATCTAAACTGAACATGAGATCCTATTGGTTAAAAAAGTTACGTGTTCTAATATGACATGCCAAATGTTAACAGTTTGGGTACTAAGTGTAGAAACAAAATTAAACGTCAGGATTGTAGAGAACTGAATCCAAATTGAACATGAGATCCTATTCATCAGATACCTGATAAACCTGATGTTAAGATACACGCTTCATTGACACTTAGTTATCAAAGGTTTGATAAAACGTTATACACAAACATATATATCAATATGAGAAACAGATATAAGGAAATATGACACTGTAATATTTCTTTTTATAAATGTTTTCCCTGACTTTAAATACAGTTTTTGATTATAAACTCCACTTGAGACACTGCTTGTAATAATTATTCAAACACTTTTATAAATTACTTTGGTACTGTACAGCCTATGTTCATTATATGTACAGCGGGTGCTATACACGACTGTATCGCTGTACAACTTAAATTCAGTATATGTAGAGCAGTGCTATACACGACTGTATCGCTGTACAGCAGGTACTATACACGACCGTATCGCCGTACAGTATAGAATTAGTATATGTACGATAGGTTTCGCTCTACAGTTTATATTTAGCGTATTTAAAAACATATTAAGAAAGAAAGAATATTCTTGAAACGTTTATGCAATGAAAGAAATTTTAATAACAAAAACAAGTTTAGTCAGATCACCTACCTTTACTCGTTTCAAACTCCGCGCGTACAAAGAAGTAAATCAGCAAAGCTTTTGTTCTTAAGCTAGATAGCTAACACTTTTGGAACGAGTTGACTATGTTAAGTTTCCTTGTCACCGCATCGAGATTTTAGGCTTGTAGACTCGCGCTGTTGTACAATAGCTGGTTATGCCTCGTGAGAAATGTACAAATTCATACGCCTATCGTGGTTAAAATGACGCGACCTACTTAAAGACTGCTTTGTTACAGAGAGAAAAAAAAAGACTGCACTGTTTTAGGTCAATTTCCCGATCTTTCTGGAAGGGAACAAGAAAACTTTTCAACGTAAAATACAAGCTTAAGACCACTGAATTCACACTTTCAATGCAATCAACTTACAAGACGATTAAATATAGTTCATAACAAACATCCATAGCAAAACAACGTTAGTCAGTCAAATATAGCTTTACTCAATCTACAGTAGAACATATCCACTCAATCTCAAAGTGAATTGAAAACACATAAGTAAGAGTATTGTTTCCTTCCTGTATTAAGTAAGAGTATTGTTTCCTCCCTGTATTAAGTAAGAGTATTGTTTCTTCCCTGTATTAAGTAAGAGTATTGTTTCCTCCCTGTATTAAGTAAGAGTATTGTTTCCTACCTGTATTAAGTAAGAGTATTGTTTCCTACCTGTATTAAGTAAGAGTATTGTTTCCTCCCTGTATTAAGTAAGAGTATTGTTTCCTCCCTGTATTAAGTAAGAGTATTGTTTCCTACCTGTATTAAGTAAGAGTATTGTTTCCTCCCTGTATTAAGTAAGAGTATTGTTTCCTCCCTGTATTAAGTAAGAGTATTGTTTCCTCCCTGTAAAATACAAAGACAACAATCGTATCCTAAATGTAAAATATACCGTCAACATTACAGAAAGCATATAACGAAGTGTTTCGCTTCGTACAAGTATCGTGCGTTATACATAGAAGTGTGTCGTTTCGTACAAGTATCGTGTGTTATATATAGAAATGTGTCGTTTCGTACAAGTATCGTGTGTTATATAAAGAAGTGTGTCGTGTCGTACAAGTATCGTGTGTTATATAAAGAAGTGTGTAGTTTCGTACAAGTATCGTGTATTATATATAGAAGTATGTCGTTTCGTACACGTATCGTGTGTTATATATAGAAGTATGTCGTTTCGTACAAGTATCGTGTGTTATATATAGAAGTATGTCGTTTCGTACAAGTATCGTGTGTTATAAAAAGAAGTGTTTAGTTTCGTACAAGTATCGTGTGTTATAAAAAGAAGTGTGTCGTTTCGTACAAGTATCGTGTGTTATATATAGAAGTGTGTCGTTTCGTACAAGTATCGTGTGTTATATATAGAAGTATGTCGTTTCGTACAAGTATCGTGTGTTATATATAGAAGTGTGTAGTTTCGTACAAGTATCGTGTGTTATATATAGAAGTATGTCGTTTCGTACAAGTATCGTGTGTTATAAAAAGAAGTGTTTAGTTTCGTACAAGTATCGTGTGTTATATATAGAAGTATGTCGTTTCGTACAAGTATTGTGTGTTTTTAAAGAAGGTGTGATGTTATTTATGGTTAAAAGTAAACAAAAGACCTCTTAATTTCAGTATCAAAAACTTTAATGTTCAACTTCGTTCCAGTACGTGTTTCTTGTTGCCATACAAGATTTGATTGGCCTGTTTTGTTTTATTATTAAGTTTTCAAGTATCCATTTTCATGAGTTTTTTAGGTCATTCCTGTACATTAGAATCAGGTGTCGCAAGAACTCACCGATTGATGAATGTTAGTTCTGTGAGGGTACATTTTTTTAATGACCCATTTTTGTTTCTACAGGTGTACTTCTGTGTTTGTTCTAACGAAAAAAGTGTCGTCTTTAATGACTTAAATATCATTTTTGTTTAGTTGGGTAAACTTTGTGTTTTATTAAGGAATACCGTTCTTGTAATGAGTTAAGTAGCATTGTTGTTTAATTAGGTAAACTCTGTGTTTTATTAAGAAATTGATAACAAGGTAACGACCATAAGAATAACAGATCAAACTGTTAACACAGGTTTCAACCACAAAAATAACAGACCAGACTGATAACACAGGTAAAGACCTCAAGAATAGCAGATTAAACCGTTAACACAAGTAACGACCACAAGATTAACAGATAAAACTGATAACACAGGTTACGACCACAAAAATAACAGACCAATCTGATAACACAGGTAAATACCTCAAGAATAGCAGATTAAACCGTTAACACAAGTAACGACCACAAGAATAACAGATAAAACTAATAACACAGGTAAACGAGGAGAATAATAACAGGTCAAGGTGATACTACGGATGAATGATGACCACATTTCGTCTTATATATTTCTGTCTCCTATGTTTGGGACTTGAAAGAAGACAATATATTCTGTCTCCTATGTTTGGGACTTGAAAGAAGACAATATATTCTGTCTCCTATGTTTGGGACTTGAAAGAAGACAATATATTTCTGTCTCCTGTGTTTTGGACTTGAAAGAAGACAATATATCCTGTCTCCTATGTTTGGGACTTGAAAGAAGACAATATATTCTGTCTTCTATGTTTGGGACTTGAAAGACAATATATTCTGTCTCCTATGTTTGGGAATTGAAAGAAGACAATATATTTAGTCTTCTATGTTTGGGACTTGAAAGACAATATATTCTGTCTCCTATGTTTGGGAATTGAAAGAAGACAATATATTTAGTCTTCTATGTTTGGGACTTGA